TGCATACATGTACACAATTTTATTTCATTGATGGTGTCTTTGTCAAACTGAGATTGCGCTTTCTCAGCCAGCACCAATTAGGGCCTGGAGTAACCAAGGGCAAGAATTCTCAAACCTGACTGCATGTTAGATCCAGCTGGGAGCCATTACTTTCCACCATGACTGGGCCCATTCCAGATGCCCTATTATATGGATTGAGACCTAGGCATTAGTGTTTTTTTAAAGCTCCTCTGTTGGTGTGTATGTGATCATGGTTGAGAAACACGGCCCTGGACTACCAGATGGAACTTAATCCCCACAAGAGACAGCACTGCTGGATGGAAAGGACAAGGCCAAAAGGCCAGGCTTCCTTGACCCCACCTCTGCTCCTAACAAAGACACCCTCCTTCCCACCACTGGCAGAGTTAGATAAGCATTCTTTGCCTCTTTCTGTAAGTCTTTGCCTTCGTCTTCCTCTTTTTGAAACATTTGTCTCATTCCCCTCACAAATCTCCTGGCTCTCAGGATGTGTCCCTCCCTGCCCTGAGTCTGTGGGCCTTGAGGCAGAACGTAGTCAATATAAATGAGCCCTTCCTAATGGGATTGGCTTTGCAAAGGAGATGGCAAGCAGTGGAGCAGAGCAGGATTTATTTTCAACTGAAAACTACCCCTCAAAAAAATGTGTTTGGCAAACTAGATCCTTCCTCTGGCTGTGGATCTGAAAGACAAGCTCACACACAGTTTGTTTCCCCATCCTAAGATAGTGTGACAGGGTCACCACTTCTCTGAAATGAGTTTTTGATTTTCAGCAACAGTCTAATTAGACTTGACTGGGGCCTGTCTTCTGCAGGCTTTTTTCTTTTGCATTTGCCTTTGGGATCAGTAGCTGGCAACTAACACCCACTAGAACTGAAGCACCCAGATTATTGTAAGGGCTGAGCTAATGTCCTGTTAAAGATGCTGCCACAGGCAGAAAGAAATGAAGGAGATATGCGGCATGGCAAGGCTGTGAGCAGCCAGCAGCAGGTCCAAACTGTTTCAAAGTTAGCCTCAAAAGTCCTGAAAGGATGCTAACATGTAGCTCTGTGGTGGAATAAGTGCTTAGTGTGCACCAGGACCCTTGCTTCAGTCCTAGCATGCATGCACACAGGCACATAAATGCACATTATAGGAAATTTTGACTTAGGGAAAAACAGAGACCCCCCCCAAAGTCCCAGTTATTTCTAGTCTCCCGATTAGTTGCAAGAGAGTGTAGGATGTGGGGCAAAATGAGATCTCAACCGTTCGGTGATTAATAACTGTAACATCTGGCATTTATTAAAGCCTGTGCTGAGTGCTGTGTTTTTCTCAGTGGTTCCTCAGCACCATTGTATATATTTAAAAGGCAGCCGACAGAATCAGAAACAAGCCCAAAGTCCCTTGGAGTGTAAATGGTTGAACACAAACTCAAACACTGTGTTAGATTCCAGACTCTGCACCCACGCCACGGCGATACAAACCATCTGCATGTTTCACAGTCTTAACCACGGTGCAGGACATTGCATCAGAGAGTAACAGACAATTCTACTTTTTCAGTACTCTGACTTACTTAAAAGGCCAGTTTCAGCCAGGTATGGTGGCACATGCCTTTAATCTGAGCACTTGGGAAGCAGGCAGGCAGACCTCTATGAATTTGAGGCTAGTGTAAGTCTACATAGTGAGTTCCAGGTTAGCTAGAACTACAAAGAAACACTCCATCTTAAAAAAAAAAAAAAATCAGTTTCCAAAAAACATTTACCTACCAAAAGATTGTGTCACTGTAATGTCATTGCCGGGTACATGACCTACAGTAAGGGAAAAAAACTACGGCCCATGAGCCATGCTAATAGTCAAAAGAAATCAGAAGAGTTGTATTTAAGAAATAAAATTTCTATGGAATTCAGATTTCAGCGTCCAGAAACTAAGATTTATTGGGAACAAACCATACTCTTCAGTTTCTGCATTATCAGTATGTGGACACCTTCTGGGCCACCACCATGGAAAGAAGTAGTCACAGCAAAGACTGTGTGGCCCGTAACCTAGTCTAAGTACTAAGTCTTGTACTAAGTACAAGGTGTGCCACACCTTGACACTAAAAGCCTGCCAGCAAGTCCTAACCCCTCACATAGCACCAGCCAGCTCCATCTTTAGAGAAAGGGAAGACTCCCTGCCCACTTCACACAAGGCAGCTCGGGTAAGGCTTATTGTGACACCCTCCCACCCACAGTTTGCCTTGCCTTGATAGACCCTGAAGCTTCAGGAACCCTGTCCCTGTCTTTAACGCAGTCCTCATCATAGGCTATATGAAGTAATATTTAAGAACGCATGTACTTGATTGTGTCTGAATTATCAACATCAAACTGGCAGGCTAGAAATTCAGAAAGGAAGAAGCTGAAGTCAGGAGAGTTAGTTAAAACGTGGTGCTTGTACAGTTCTTTCATACGCATTCTTATTTAACTTCAGCTAAATGTCAGACAACACTGTTCAGTCCCCCTCATTTGAGCATGGAGTCTGTGTCCCCTCCTTCCTTGGTCTCTGCATGCCACTGGTACTTTACATTATCTTAAGATGTTAGATGTTGCAGCTGTGAAATTGTCATGTCCATCTTTTCACCCCCAAAGAATTGAGTTTTAATGTGGGAAAAAAAAAGAAAAGAACAATCCCCAACACTAACAAATTGTATCTTTTTTTAAAGCAGCTCAATTCTAACTTGGTGAGCAGTGAAGACAACCCATTGATTGCCATAGATACAGCATCTTCACACCTGTGGGGTCCTGCTAAGAAATAGGGTTTTCGGGAGCTAGAGAGACAGCTCAGTTGCTAAAGAGCACTGGCTGTTCATCCAGAGGATCTAAGTTCGATTCCTAGGACCCACATGGTCTCCCAACCTTTGTAACTCCTGTTCCAGAAAGGCCCTCTTCTGGCTTCCACAGGCACAGACACACATGTGGGCAAAACACCCATACATATGAAAGAAACAGTTTTTAAATTAAACAGTCCCACCCAGGCAAACAAACCCCCAGATGGAGCAATAGAAAAGAGATGGAAGGTACCATCCTAGACAGAGCTTACTCGTGTGAGCATGAAAGAGGCTAGCCAGCGCTGCTCTGAGTTGAAGGAAAGAGAGTCAAAGACAACTTTACAGTCTGTTGGTAAAGTATAGATGACTTGCCTGCTCTTCCAGATTCATGGGGAAACCGAGTGAGAGCAGGGATCCCCAGTATTGCAAAACCCACTACACACACTAGCACTTCCACGTCTCTTACTCCTGTCAGCCTCAGAGGCCCAACTGTGAGGGAGCAAGGTGGTTACTATTCTTTTGTAGCTACAAACAGAAATAGGGAGAAGTCAAGTACTTTGTCTAAAGCTGTGGTTCTCAACTTTCCTCATGCTGTGGTGATCCCAACCATAAAATTTCATTGCGACTTCATAACTGTAATTTTGCTACTGTTATGAATCCTAATGTAAATATCTGATATGCAGGATCTCTGCTGGGACCCCTGTGAAAGGGTTGAGAACCTCTTGGCTAAAGCAATGCAGATCATTGAGAGTACCACTCCTGAATTTGTTTCCGTGCTACAACTACTGTGGTATTTTGTTTCCCATTCCTACCTGTAATGAAGAGAGAGTCTTTGGACTTGGGCGCATATGGGTATAATTTCAGCACTAGCATTTAGCTAGCTAGCTGCCCTGGACTAGTGATGGACAGACACATGCTCCCTCAGTTATAGAGATAAGGACAGCTGCAGCACAGGCTCCAAAGGTGCCAGTGAGACTTTCTAACCCCCTCCCCCCCATTGAAGACATTGTTTTTCCCTTTGTTCTCTGACGTGGGCTTTGGGGGTATGTGTGTTCACACACACACACTTGTATAATGTAACCTGCATCTTGCTCGTGAGGTTAGAGTAACAAAGATCATATTTTTTCAGGTACATTATAGACTCCCTAGTTTAATAGTACATGCCAAGAGCTTGAACTACATGGCCCCATAATTCCTGAGCCCAGGCCACCCTTTTCTGGAGACCTTGGTTACTGTATGGGTCCTGAAGGTTGAAATGACTGATCAAGGAAAGAAGGGGTGTCTGCATGACCATGAGGATATAGACTTCTAGAGCCTTTGTTGTGAAAATGTATTTACCTTCTAACCCCAATCTACCAGCAAAACCCAAATGTGAACTGTAGCTCATTAAGATTTTTCATAATGTACAAAGTATCTGTCAAAGTGCCTGATCACATAATAAAGACTTGGGTGTCCAAGCTGGAACTTGCTCTTCCTGTGTTCCTTAAGTTGAGCAACAATATGTGTTGTGTTCCAAGATGGAAGAACTGACAGATGGAATCTTCTCTCCATCCCTTTTTCCATAAGCCTGTTTGCCAGAATTATTCTAACACCATCCACCAAAGTGCTGGTAAAACCCCCTGGGTCTTGGCCATATCTGTAAGTTGCCTGGATATTAATGCTGAGAATAGGTGTGTATAGTATGACCAATGAGAATTTGGATGGGTTCTAGTTACCAAAGGCACCAGGATGACCTTGGTCATCTTGGCATGTGGCAGAACTGCCAAGTTCTATTCCTCAGCTTGCATTTTGTTTTTTATGGGGTGTGAAGCAGTGCTATTTAACTCTTAAAGGTCACTCTCTCTCTGACTCCTCGCTGAACTCCTCCCCTATGTCCTCACCAGTGTCCCCAGTTTCTCTAGGCTACAGGTGAGTTCAAGGGCAGGAACAATTGCAAATAGCTGCTGGCTCGATAGAATAGAACTATAGGCTATGTGGAATATGAAGCTGGCTCACAAAACGAGGAGCTGTGTTTTCCCTAAATATTTACATTTCCAGCCCAGTAAACAGGAAGATCCAGGGGGGGGGGTTATCCCTGAGCAAAAGCATAGTGACAACTTATCACATAGTTGTCCCAGGAGGCCCTGCTCACCTGCTGGCTCAGCCTGGGAAGGTAGTGGCCATTGTGCCAGGCTCTAACACATCTTTCCCTCTCTCACTGCAGGTGTTAACAGAACTGAAATCCGACAATCAGAGGCTGAAAGATGAAAACGGTGCCCTCATCAGAGTCATCAGCAAACTGTCCAAATAGATGAGGTCAGATCTGGAGGCAGGGACAGCATTTGCTGCGCGCCCTTTGTTTCCAGCTATGGATGTTTCAGAAGAAGGGCACCTCCTTCTGCTCTCCTCAGTCACCTCTGCACTGTACATTTTCTCTGCACTCTCAATGTCCCGTTGCTCCCGCACTGCTATCCAAGTTTTATGACAGTTTTAACTGAAGCATGATTGTGACCATTTCAAGCAATCTGGAGAAAGCTTTGTGGGGTACACCAAGCTCAGGTGTGGACCCCCAACTTTCTGCTGCTTTGTCCACATTGGTTTCAGTATAGATATGTAAGGCTTTGACCTGTAAGGCCTTTACACTGACCCACTGTCCTTTGATATAGGTGAGTCTTGCGGTGGCCCCTCTGGGATCTTCTCTGGGGTGCCAGGAGAAAGGGCAGAATGTGGAATTACTCTGTGGGCTGCCTCTGGAGCTGTTGCGGAGAGTCCAAGGTGATTGTGACTCTGTTATTCACCTCTCAGGGACTGACTTGTTTTTACTTTTCTATCAATAACCTAGAACTTTCCTGACTAGTCTTAACCCATTTCTCCCCTTCTACAAGGCTTAGATTCTCTAGGTCCTTTTCTTTCTGTCCTTTTATTTCTCCTCCTAGCCTGATGGCATAAAAGCTGAAACAGAGCTCCTGACCTCAGTTGTTTTGGGCCATTATGGGAAATCATCACTCTGTTGCCTTGGTACCCTGACCCCTGTCTCGACAGAGCTAGAGGATGGCTTATGGGTCAGCCCATTGTTCACATCTCCCACTTGTCTGCTTCAAAGTGACTTTCTGGACTCTTCAAGGCAGACATAGTAGTATACACCTGCTACCCCAGCACTCGGGGAGCTGAGGAGGGGGACTGGGTTCTAAATACGTCCGTTTGCCTTCTTCCTCGGGCTGCGTTGTCCTTTCTACCTGTGCACCTGCTCCTAATGAGGAAGGAAGTCGTTGCAAGGAGACCTGGGGGAGAGTCGGGGACGGAAGCAGGCTCAGGACAGGAAGAGAGCGCGTGAGGACACTTGGGACACAGAGCTTATACTGTGAGAACGGTGGTAACTTTCTTTCTAGTAGTCACATTCAGGGGAGAGATACTGCCCTTCTTAGAAGCCAACAGGAGAAATGACTGCTGGGGTAGGAACTGAAGAGGATGAAGTGCATCCAGCCCATAATAAAACTCATGGGCTCCTAAGAGTGGCAAGGCTCATGCATCATCTGGCCCAGCTTCCCTGTGTCACAGGGACCCCTCTCTGCCGCCATAGCTCTGGCCTATGGTCAGCCTTTGGTAACTATGCATTTGACTTGACACTTGGGCACCTCTAGTAAGCAGAGTTTTTACTAAGAGCAGCTGAGCTCTGCTCTCTCTGCCTGCCCAGCACATTAAATGTGATGGGTGGTGGTCTCTTTCTGTAGTCTCCTCAGTCCCTCTTCAGACGTCATGGTTTTAACACCTGTCACATCTTGACTGCCATCCTCTAGAGTTTAGACAAAGGCAGCCCTTTAGATGATCGTGTCTCCGCCTTTACAGACTATTCCGTGATTCCGGCACATAGTTAAAGTGCTAGTTCTCATCGGTGAGCCAGTGTCGGTGGGGATAATGCTGGATTCCTGTAGGCATTTTGTCCTTTGGGTCACACTAAAGAACAGGTCCTTTAAAGCCTCATTATTTGGGGGTTGCCAGTGATGTGGACCATTCTAGTACTACCTCTGTTATTTTTCTTTCATGAGGGTGCCACTGTCATCCTTTTCTGTGGCCCTTGCAGACTTCGTGTGCTCTTAAACAGAAGCTGTAATTCAGGATCCCAGTTGCAGAATAGGACCATGCTCACTCTGATACACTTTGAGCACATACAAGATTCTGTTTTCCATTTCAGCCCACTCTTCTGAGGAGTCTGTTGGGCCACTCTGTCATGGAGCACTGAGCCCAGGTCTTAGGGAAGACTGAACCACAGTGAGAGGGACTTGTCTTCACCTATAGGAATCATTCTCATCTTGCTGGGAAATGTCAACAACATGCCAGACAACTGATTCTCCTAGAATGGCTAGGACATTGGGAAAGAGGGCATTGCTGCCTTGTCTTAGGAAAAGAAAATGGATGTTGGGAAACCATTTTGAGCCTCCTCCATTCATAGATCAGGTAAAGGTGTTGCAGAGTTCTCTGCCTTTGGACCTTTTGAAGTGCGGGGGCAGGTTCTCAGAACTCCTCACAAATTGCCATTAATACCTGCTGCTTTTCATGGCCTTCCTTCCATGTTAAGATGCCACCTCTTGGCAGGAAGGTTTCCTTGTGACAAGTTATTTATAAGCTTTTCAGTCTCAGGAGTACTGGACTCTGTGGCCAAGAACATATCATAGTACAAATGATCCTAGGTAATTTCAGGCACTTCCTATTGGGCCACCAATTTTATTAGACAAGAAAACATTGTGAATTTAATCTCTTCCAGAAAAGAAAAGAGAACTCCGTTTCTTTAAAGTGATATTGATTGAAAGCCCCCATGAAAGACATTGGCCTTCTGATAGCCAACTGGACTCTCGGTGCTGGTCTCCTTTTCCTTTGTTGCTTGGCCAGTTACACACTCTAGGTCTCCCCAATGGCCACCAGCCTCACCTGCTGGCTTCTTGTGAGTAATCTCACAGCTGGATCTTAGTGACCGAACACCACTGCAAGCAGGTGGCCCTGCAGAACTCAGCCTGTCACAAACCGGTCTTCATGAGAAATTCAGATGGGGACAAGAATGTTCTAATTCATTTGACAGCTTTGGGAGTAATGACTGGGCCAGTCAGGTTCTGGGTTTTCTTTCCTGTGACTTTCAGGGGCGTCTGAGCCTTTCTAGGCAGCACCTGAAGTACTCCCTCTCACTTCCATCCCTGTCTCTAGGGGAAGGGTCTTGCCTCGAAAGAACCAGAAGGACAGCTCTATCTTGGGCCCACTCGGGTCACAGAATTCCTAGAACTTCCTTGTGTGTCCAGCAGTGGGGCATGTTCTCACCCCACTCTCCCTGCTTCTTTCCCAGTCCTCAGCCCTCTAGACGTAAGCATTGTTCCATGAGGCGGCTTCCACTCAGGGAGGACAGGATGGAGGCTGTGGGCCCTATAAAAAGAGTATATAAACCAGAGATGAAAGGAGGAACTCTCCAAGCTATGCCCTTGCTGGGACTCTGGTTTCTGTCCCAACCCAGTGCAAAGTACTGACATGCTGGCACTTGGGAGGAGTAGGTCTCTGTGACCAGAACCCTGGGGCCAGGAGGACTGCAGAAAACATGTGAGCCTTGAGATAGAAGCCTAGGGGCAGCTAGACCAGCAGGGTGGTTGGGGACTGCTTCCCCCAGCAGCTGAGCTACAGTGCCCACTGCAGTCTCCCCTCCCCTGAGGCTGGGATACAGGAGCTCTGCTGTCCTCGCTCAGGACCGCAAGGCTCTAATCCACGGTCACATGCCTTTTCAGAAGTGGCCTGCCCAGATCCATGCCTAATTATAGCTACATCTTGGTTGCCAATCTGTTCTGAAGGTAAGTGCAAACCCTCAAACAATATGGTTCCCCTCACCCTGGAAGTGAGGTGGCTTTGAGGGCAGGATAAGGTGCACATAGTTAAGCCACAGGGAGTCCAGGGAGTCCAGGGCCAACTATAGAGCTGTAACCCTTGGGCAAGATAATCTTTTAAGGTCCCATTGTGCTTAAAATTCTGTGATTTGTTCATTTCTAGAAAAATGAGAACATTTTTGACACTTAAATTTCTGCTTCTTTTCAAATTTTCAAAATCAGTCTTGTTTTCTTCCCAAATTCAAGCTGTTTAAGATCAGGGTGTCAAGGCTGACTCCTCCTCTTTAGAAAGTGATTTTAACATTGAGAGCAATTGAATAGTGTAATGATCGCTCTCCCTCCTGGTGGCTAAGTAAAACATATTCCCAACCGGAAGAGATGGAGCTTGGAACTGGTAGGGGATGGGTAGAGCAGTGTGTCACTAGGAAACCAGCTGCTGGTGGTAGGTTTGCTCAGCCACTTCTCCCAGATGTGATCAGCAGTTTCCCAGTATCCAAGCAGCAGACTTAACTACAATTCTGCTTGGCACCAGCTCGTTCCTAGTCTTGAACTCTGCCTTGAGCAGCAAGAGTGCTCTGTAGTGAAGACCTCAGCCACTTCAGCTGAGCTCTGCCTTGGAGCACTAAGCTCTCAGAAGGCGGTGCTCTGGTGTTACTCAAGTGGTCTTTCAAGACCTGCTTCTGTAGGTGTTTACAGACCCCACAAACAGCCTAGCATAGAATGGTGTCCAGCTCTGGCCAGACTCCTACAGTCGGGGCTCGGATGTGAGGAAAGAGCCAAACCCTGGAAGTGGAGGCCTGCATGCTATAATGGGTAAAGGCAGAGCAAGGTCTGTGCATGTGGAACACGATTGCGATGCAAGCATTGGGAGAAAGGAAGCCAGATTTCCTCACCTGGAAGTGCGTTCTGTCTCGTTGAGCTCATCCCTCAGCTCCAGCTGAGGCTGAGTGGAGATTTTAATCAGCCTTCCTAATGGGTATTGACACTGCTCAGAGCAGTAGACTCTGTCAGGGACAACTATTGATTGCTTGTGTTCTGATTAGATTGAAAAAAATAGATCAACTTCATTATAGCCCAGGAGCTGTCATTGTCACAGCTACAAAGGAATGAAGTAAGTGGTCTCTGAGGGCTGAGGAGAAACAACCGGACTCCCAACAAACCAGAGGGCAGCTGAAAGTTGTGTCTATGGCTCCTTGAGAGTGGTAGTTAAGGGTCTCAGTTGTTCCGTGGTGTGCCTTGCCACCCAACCCAGTGCTTGGATGTCCACTGGCTAGATGGTGGAGGAAGGAACTTCTAAAGCCCATGGCACTGAAGTATGTTCTGGCTTACCTCAGAAGATTTGGCAGTGTGAGGGTCTCTTCAGCCTGGGAATGAACGAAAACACACACACACACACACACACACACACACACACACGACAGGCTGGAACTTTCAAAGAGAGGTCTGGCATTTTCTTAATTAGAAATGAGAACTCAGAAACTAATTTTATCCAAGTATAGCTGTCTCTTTTGCTCTTCCTACACCAGCTTCCCAAAGGACTTCTCTCTCCCACGCATCTGCTTGTTTCCCAGCTTGGGAATCTGCCAGAATGACATTTTGTTATTTTGCTTCTAAATTTTCCCCTAATGCTTCCAATAAAAATTAACTTGGGTGGCCCTTAAGGTGCCATCAAGATGCTAGGTCCTTCCAAATAAGTATCCCCTTCCCCCTCCTCTCCTCCATACTCCTTAGGCCTTGCTTCTACACTGGGACTTGATGGTGTCTGAGGGAAGAGGTTTCCCATTAATCAGCCAAGAGTCCTGGAGGATTTTCAAACACCAACAGCATGTCATTTCCCCCACCCACCCAGGGCCAGCCCCTAATCCACTTTTTCAAAGCCCTTCAGAGACAAGGTTTGGCTTATAGGTCTAGATAATTCCTCTGTCACAGGGCTGTGTCCGAGACATCATTTCCTGGGGATGTGACTGATCCCCACATAAGGCACAAGTGTCTGCCCAGCACAGGCTGAACTAGTTTGTCTGTGCAGTAGGTGACAGTCACTCAGCCACGCAGGAGAGGTGATGAAGAAAAGGCTGGACCATGAGGAGTCATAAGCTCTTAGGCATGGTCTCAAACCCAGAGCTAGAGATGAGAGCAGGATCCTGAACAAGGGACACTTGGGGCCAGCACCAGCCCGATTCTCTCCCAAGGGCGTGTCTGTGCTGTTCTCAGCTTCTCCTAGGATGGGAAAGACTAGTGCAAAGCAGCTGTAGCTAAGGACACCAGAGGTGGCTCCAGAAGAAAACTCTGAGAATGCATCCATCCACCATGCACACAGAACCTACCAGCCACCACCCCTCGAGCCCAGCAGATCGGGCCTCCTCTGGCCTGGCCTTCAAGAACAGCTGTGACTTCCCTGAAGAGGGGTGGCGTGGCCTACTGAGGCAGTGGTGGTCCACAGCTCAGCTTTGGCTTCACGGTTTTCCTCTGTTCTTGTCTCCTTTGCCCCCCACTCCTGATCACCGCTTGAGCGCCTTTTTTTTTTTTTTCTTAATTTCCTCTCTCCACCCTTCACCCACACTTAGTGCACCAAATAGAGCTGTTTTCTAGCTGAGTTGTGTGGATTAACTTCAGTCAACTGTAAATACACCTGGAGGAGGCTCCTGAGGGAGGGGAAGCCAGACTGGCTTTGTGAACTGAATGTATTTTTATGCAACTTTGAGTGACCTTCCAACCCTGAGATGGATGGACTTGTTTTACTGGTTGTTAGTATGTGGTATTAAGTATTCTGTGTTTGAAAGTTTGGGAATAATATTCACATCTGTATGATGCCTGTAAACACAACAGTATTTATAAACGAGCAAATAAAACTGTTTTAACTTTGTGCCTTGAGATTGATAGGACTTCCTACTCACCAGGCAGCCCCCAATAGAAGTCTCTTTGCCATGGGCAGTCACAAGCTTGTAAATCAGCACCTGCCCTGCCCCAGGAAGGTGTCTGGGACCATCGACATATTTCCTGAATGACTAGTCAAGGAAAAACCCCAAGTTTCAGAGCAACCCTGAGAAGAAATCAGGGTTCCCGGTGCCTAAGGGAAGGTAAAAAGTGGGGGTATATGACCCACCTGATTATAACCTAACACCCATCCTACATAGGGAAGCTAGAGTCCAGAGAGCTGGTGGTGGTGCTAGGCTCTTACAGGCCCCCAGCACCACCCTCAGTCCTCTGTGTAAGGTCCTTTAGGTCATTGTTTGAGGAGATCCAAAAATTACTCCTTAGTTCCAAACTATGCACATGAAGCCAACGATGGGGTCATTGGAGGTTGAGTCTAAGCTCTAAAGGAAAGGAGCCTAGCTCAGGGAGTTGCTGCAGAGGCTGCTCGTAGGGCTAGAGAGTGGGCAGCCAGGCTTTGGGTCTGCTTTCTGCCAAGTGGAAATCCTTGGTCACTGACTTGGGAGGGAGGGAAGATTCTTTTCCTCTGCTGTCACCCAGCTGTTTGTAGCTCAGGCAGCAAGAAGAAATAGGCATGATGTCATGGTTGAAGAGTTCAGCCCTGGGCTTGGGGCTTGAAGCAGAGGCAAACATAACTGACACAGGGGCTCCTAGACCACAAACATCATTTCCCTGGGGCCCCTGCTGGCTGGGTAAGGTCTATAGAACCTTACCCAGTTTCATCTACTGGTCATGGGTACCAGCCTGCAGCAGAGCAAGGCACCCACATTCTCCGTCCTGTACAACCAGGCCATCTAGCCTGTGGCTTCCAGGACTGAAGCAGCAACCAGCCAGATCTGGGCTCCTGCCAGCTCACACAAGCTCTCTGCCCACCTGCCCTTCTGGACTTAACACGAAACACAAGTCTAGTGCATGATGGTCCCAGACAAGTGACAAACTGATGGGGTGACCTTCTCTGGGGCTGGGAACTAAAAGTTTAATCCTTTCCTGGTCTTGATCATACTGCCCCCAGTCTGTCCCTAAGCATTCTGAAGCCTTGCTGGTCCTGGTATCCCTTCCTCATCAGCCACAGCCAAACAGCCTTCTTTGCAAAGCAAGATTGGAGACTTCATAGTTTCCACTTTTTAAACATCTACACCCTGGAACCAGCAGCCTCCCTGTTGTCAGGGTCAGACTGTGGCTGTCCCCTAAGCTCATGTCCTCTGGAGGGAGCTCACTGGTGTGGGACAACCCTCATCCTCCCAGAAGGGTGGACCCCGTGTGACTACCATCCACCAGAAACCCCATCTGCCCTTCCACAAACCCAGAAGACAATGGGCCGTGACCCCTCAGCCCAGCTCACTTCCCTCTCCAGCCTTGCTGACCCACAGGGGCACCCCCTCCCCAGTAAAGAAAGTAGAGATGCTTCCCGCCCCCAGGTTGCTTTCAGCTCTTTTCTTTAATAAGGAGACGCAGCTCATTACAAAATAACAGTTTGACAAGAGATGAGACAAGAACAGAGTCCACACAAGGGAATGGAGAGAGCAGTGCCAAGCAGAGTGGGCAGGGGGAGGGCTACACGTGTCCTTCCTGTGAAAACAGGGAGGGCTCCTGGTGGGGCCAGTGCATTCCAGGGGTAACGTGGGCTCACTGAGATTCTGCCCCAGCCCTAGTTTTGAAAGTTTCTGGGCCCAGGGTTTTCAGAGAGAACATCAAGTCCTTAGATGAAGAGGAGTCAGGCAGGATGGTCAGGCTTCCTGGTCATCTCCTAAACTCCTGGCTGCTGAGGAAAGCTGGGGTGAAACTGAGGCCCACACGCTGCTCCCCACACCTTGCCAGGCTCTCCTGCCACTGTTCCCAGTTTCTGTTTCTGCAGAAAGTAGTGGGGGACTCCAGCCAACCCCAGTCTACACTGAAATGGTTGCTCCAGTTGCCCTGTTTTTGTCAATAGCACAAAAGCTTGGACTTGCTCAAGCATCATGGTTTGTAAATGGCAGATTCCCCTTGTTGCCTCTGGCTTTATCCAATAAACTTGCCCAACTCTGCCTGTGGTTCCCTGGCTTAGTAACATGGCTGCCCTCCTGAGGAGTCCTGCAGGTCACCAAGCTGCTGCAGTTCTCTCTACCCATATGGTCACCACTTGTCATGCCTGCTCAGGCTGCCCTGGGAGCCAGTATGAGGGTCAGAGCTTAGTGTTCCCCTGTTATGAGTCACCACTCATTGCCACACCTTCCACCTTGCTCTCAGGGCCACCCTGCTCTTGTGGCACTGCCAGGCCAAAGAGAGGGTGTGCGTGGAGAGTCTACTGCAGTTCTTGGTTTTCCCCATGGGTCACTCCTCCACTGCTCTCTGTGAAGGCTCAGGGAGAAGTAGGCTGGGCTAGTCTTGTTCATCCTAGGCTACAGGCTGCTGACTGCTCCTGAGAACCCTGGCTGCCTCTGCAGGCCTCGAAGATGGTATGTAGGCCACAGAGACACACCATTGCCCTGCCTATACCCAGGGTAGAGTTGAGTCCCACCATCAGATGTAAGCCAAGAAAGCCAGCCACAGTCATCTCCTGGGACCCCACCAGAAGCCCTGAAACACCGACTGTCCTCATGACACAGGGCTGAGGGAGCAACAGAGGGTAACGGACAGGTGAGCCCTTCACAAGTGTTCTGTGGGGAGCCAGTTGGAGGGACGGGGTGCTCCTGGGAGGTGTCAAGGGCAGCCTCCAGGAGGAGACCCCATTATGGCTTTTCAGTTTATTCAAGACAGTGGGAAGAAAGGAACCACACCACACACATGGAACATAAAAGCAATGGGACACCAGACACAGGCCAGACACAGTGCACTGTGCCGCAAGGGTTAGCCCTGCAGACAGACATGCAGCAGACCTGCCCCGGGGCATCCTCCCCGGCCAGGGCTGGCACCGGGCCCAGAATGTTGTCTCCCATTGCGGACATTCCCTGTAGGGGACATAGGGTGAGACAGTGGACAAAGACTTTACACAACATAAAATCAAGGAGCAGCCAGTTTTGTAAAATGGGTTTGGGGTTGGGAGATCAAGGGGACACTCAGCATTGCCATGCGGCTATTTACAGTTTTGTAGACATGCATCTTGATTAAACAAGATTCTGCTCGTATGTTTATAGATAGCATCTTCTTTTATAATATATAACTAAATGCACATGGAGGGGTCAGATGAGGCTCAATGGCTTCAGAAGTTTCCTGTTTTGTTGTTGCTTAAAAAATAAAGTGTATTCATATATCTTCAAGCCACAGTGTCCCCTCTCAATATTGCAGTTCAAAAAACAGGTTAAATCAAATCTGTGGTAACCAACCTCTGGCCCCTGGGACTGAAGAAAAGAGGGATGAAGTAGCCAGAGGGTACATTGCCAGACACGATACAGGATTAGCCAATTAAATGTAAATTTTGCATTAAACAATAAATCACTTTATAGTACAGTATGTCCCAAATATTACATAGGACATACTTCAAAATTATTTATCTGAAATTCAAGTTTAACCAAGTATCCTGTATTTGTATTTGCCAAATCTGGCAGCCATATGGGGCTGTTACCCATGGCC